TTTCCTTCAGCCCTCCACAGGTGTGCCTCCCAGGAGTTAAGGATATCAGAACTCACGGAATCCTCCTCTGGCCAGCCAGTGAGTGTCTGTTCCTCAGACAGGATACCTGGACTGCAAACCCAGCTGTGGGGAGGGCTGGGGCTGGCAGAGTCATATTCCTTCGCTTGCTGTCTGCTTTTTTAAAAAGAGTTTTAGTTTTTAATTTGTGGGGATGTGTATGAGCCTGTGTTGTCGTGCCAGTGGAGGCCAGAAGACAGAACCAATTGCCTGGAGTCAGTCACAGGCCTTTGTGAGCCTCCCCAGCCAGTCAATACATGTGCTGGCATCAGAACTGAGGCCCTCCAGAGGAGCAGCAAGAACAGAGTCATCTTTTCAGGTCCACCTGTGGATTTATGTTCTCTTGCTAATTTTTAGAGCAAAGAGATATTAACCCCCATTTAATCATAACCCCACAAAGAAAACTCCGCCTGCCTCACAGATGAGATGTGAGATGAGCCTTCTCACTCAATCCAGGAGGAACCACCAAAGCCTAGCTCGTGGCTTGGTGTTCTAGGAAGCAGCCCTTCCTAGCAGGGTCTGCAGTAACCCCCGAGTCGTGCTGGATGTTGTGTGTGACCGTCAGATCATGTCATCTGCCTGCTCAAAAGTACTCCAGTCTCCCATTCCATTCAGAAAAATGTTTAAGCTTCCTGGTGGCCGTAAATCCCACAATGAAGAGCCCCCATCACCTCCCCCGCTACGGGCCTCTCATGCTTGCTTAGAGGTTATTACTTCATCAGAGGAGTCTTCCTTGGCCGCCATCTATACAACAGCGTTTCCCATCCACAAGCCTTCGTCACTCATCATCCCTTGCCTCTGTGTAGCTTCATGTCCCTTAAAGTCGTCAGCTGTGTGTTTATTTGTTGACCACCCGGCTCTGCCTACTAAAATTAGAGTTCTATGACTTTGTTCACTCATGACTCTCACTTTCCAAAACAGTCCAAAGTACGCAGTAACAGTAAGTGAATGCCACAGGGCTGAATGATTGTGCTTCGGCAGCCAACTGACGCATGCGCTATGACTTGCCCCTGAGAGGTACGTAGGCAGTACCTGGCCAGGAAACGTAGCCACAGCTCTCTGTTGGGTTGTCTAGAAGGCAGAGGCTAAAAGCTGCACCTAAGATTCCTGTCAATGCACTACGCCCCTCTTCATCAGAATGCTAGTTTCTCAAACAGAGACGAACATCGTCAGAGTTCAACTTCCTCTCCTGACCACTGCCTTTTCTACTCTTTGGTGTTAAGAAATAAACCTTGGAGCTCCCTCCTAGTATGAAAGGCCTTCCCAGATATCAGATAAGATACGTGAACTAGATATGAGAGCTTTGTGTCCTAAAATATTTAATTTGGTGCTTCCTCATGTTAAGGCTGGCCAAGCTCTCCTTTGTCTGGGTAAAAACAACCCTTTCAGAGAAGAGACAAAGTATCTGCTACCCAGTTGTTGAGCCAACAGGCCTGAATTTTCTCTGAAAGCCATTCCAATGTGTAAGGACTAGCAAATAATTCCTAAATCAAAAGCATGTCACTTGTCTCATCCATTTCTGAGCTCTCGAAAGAGAGAATTCTCCTCCTTCTCCAACACTGGTGGGTGAGTGAGGCAGGGGGCAAGGCTTTTCACAAAACACAATGCTGAAATAATACTGAAGGAAGGGATCCAGGTCTGCTTTCTGTTCTATTGTCTTATTCTGTCAGCTCCCACATCTCCCCAAACCCAAGCTTAATAATTTACAGCGGAAAGACATTTAATAAATACGTGGCGGGATTGGAGCTGTCGGCTCCACACAATGGGGCTGTTTGCATTTTCCTGCCTGGTGTTAGCACCAGCTCTCTCGGCTCGCTTCAACGGAAACAATCCCATTTGCTATTTTCATAAAATTAGTTCCTCTGCAGTTTCTATTAATCAGAACATTCTTTGGAGAGAATTATACTGGGATTTTATCACCATCTGAGTTCAACCATTCTGCGAGTCTGATGAATTTTTATCACCTCTGAGTGGCAGAGAGGGTAAAACTTGAGTGGGCTGATGTGAGCAGGCATGGAGCCCTCACTTGAAGCCAGCAAGGCCTGACAGATTGGGGGATCTGGGTCGGTCTCCCCCCACAAGCATCTATAATTTTAAATATTCTTCGGGTCATGGATTTCCTTTCAGATTGTATAAAAGCTACAGCTATTCCACATCTACATCACCAAGCCACACAATTCTAGTGTGTTTGTGGACACCTGTTCTGTCTTCCATACACACAGCCATCTATAGACTCCAGAATTAAAACTGTGTGTTCTGAGCTCTCCCAGTCATCCTTACCTCCCTTAACAATCTTTAGCTGGACTAGTCCTGAACCTCTAAATTCCTTGGTTAAAAGAGAAAGGACTGGGATGTTTTTAGAAGGGAAAATGTGAGGATAAAATTTCTCATGATGGCTGCTATGGTTTAGACAATTGTCCCTTAAAGGCCCATATGGTCCTCAACCCATGGTGCTGTTGGGAGGATGTAGAACCTTTAGGGCACAGGGCTGAGGAGAGGGAAGTTAGGTCACTGTGGAGTGTGGGGGTGTGCCCTTGAAGAGCTATGGGGCCCAGCTCCTTCTTCTTTCCCTGTTTCCTGGCAACAGCCCAGCAAGCAGCTTTGCTCTCATACGATTCCCACCAGGATGTGTTGCCACAGGCTGCCAAACCACGGGACCAACCAAAGATAGACCCACCTGGGAAGCTGTGAGCCAAAAGACCTTTCGCCATTTGAGGTTGTCTCACTCTTTTATCTCAGTCTTAGAAAGGTGATTAACACAGTGGCCACACGAATTTTGAAAAGTGAGGGGAAAAACGGAAAAGAGAGGGCAGCTCAAAAGTGCTGAAATAAAGTATAAAGGTCTGACATTGATAGTCACTGCACGGTATTGATGTGAGACATGGGATAAAAATTATGAAAGTTTTAGCCAGGCGGTGGTGGCGCACGCCTTTAATCCCAGCACTCGGGAGGCAGAGGCAGGCGGATCTCTGTGAGTTCGAGGCCAGCCTGGGCTACCAAGTGAGTTCCAGGAAAAGGCACAAAGCTACACAGAGAAACCCTGTCTGAAAAAAACCAAAAAAAAAAAAAAATTATGAAAGTTTTGATGAACCTCTTCTATGCTGCCAGCTTACAGAACACCAGCCTCATCCTAAGTAAACTCTGCCTGAGAAAGGACACAGATGGGAGAAATGGTGTACAGATGGGACAGGTTTCTAGAACTTTCTCTGTCCACTGAACATGTGGTTTTAGGAGAGAAGTAACTTAATCTCTACCAATCTGAGATAAAACAATAATGCGTGACTTTTAAAGTCTGTTCAGTTCTAATAACCAGTTGGACCTGATTCATTATCAGCATCGTTTTTGTATTGTTTTATTGAGGTAGAGTCTCAGATAAGGTCCTGGCTGGTCTCACACTTGCCATGCCACTCAGGCTGCTCTCAAACTTGAGATTCTTCTGCCTCAGCTCCCTTAGTATTTATATGATAGGCATCTCACGTGGCCTTTCTGGAGACGTCTAAGGTAGAAGAATCAGCTTTTCCCTCCAGTTCCCAGAAGGAAGTATTTTAAGCTATGAACCCCATCATCTGCGATTACGGCCCAGCTCTTGTTATTCCAGGGAAACGAGGCACAATCAACATAAAAACAAACCAACGAGCACACGGTGTGGCAATCACACTTCACTTACGGGCACAGAAGCTTGAATTCCATGTGACAAAGTATTTTTCTTTTGAGAAAATGTATACAAAAAATTCATGGATTTTTTTTTTTGGTATCAAAAGGAAAAGGGTTTGGTTTGGTTGTTTGTTTGTTGTTGTTGTTTTCTGTTTTTTTTTTTTTTTTGGTTTTTCGAGACAGGGTTTCTCTGTGTAGCTTTGCGCCTTTCCTGGAACTCAGTTGGTAGCCCAGGCTGAAGACAGGATTTCTTCTCTGTGCAGCACTGGCTGTCCCGGAGCTTGCTCTGGAGGCCAAGCTGGCCTCGGACTCCATCAACAGCAGAACAAATGATACACATTTGAGAGTGAGTTTGTTCCAGGACAGCTAGAGCTACGTAGTGAGACTGCAGGGGCGGGGATGGTGTGGGTGGGTGACTGAACACACTACATCCGATTCAGACAGAATAGTTTGCTTCCCAGTGTCTCCGTATTTTGTCTAAGGACACAGGTTCAAGGACCGCAGTTCGCAAATCATGTATTTGCTTTTGGTGGTTGTCCGTTTTCCCTTCCTGCTTCCACGGTGGAGGATGCAGACTTCGCCCTGTTTCCTTTCACTGGCCTGGTCTTTTGATCAAAGACTATAGGCTGGGCCCAAAATCTTTACAAATTCTGGGTAGCAGTTAGGGAAGACACTCCTCTGTAAGTTCAGGCCAGCTTCCTGGATAGCGTGGCAGTGATGAAAAAGGCCTATTTGACCTCGGGCCTCTTCCAGTCTGTCTCTTGGTTTCACTGATCCTTGCTTTGGCACATGTTAAAAGCTAAGGGAAGAATCATGACCAATAAAATAAGGCTGGGTAAGGATGATAGAACGTGGTGTTATTGCAACTAGTGATCTGGACTCAATTCAGGAGGGATGTTCGGGACTCTGAACGGCAGAACCGATGTGACTTGCCCCCACAGGCCTGGGCCCCTCCCGCGGATTGGGGACTGAGTGGTCATCAGATGGCCGGACAGAAGCTGGTGTCCAGACCGCGGAACAGCTCTCCGCACCTGCAGGATTGGCCCGGCCGCTCCACCGCGGGGCTGCGCAATCTCAACCCTGACAGCCAGAAGGGATTAAACGGTCCTGTGGTTGTTGTCCGAGGGTTTGGTGGCTAACGAGAAGTGATTGACAAGCATGGCCATCCAATCGAAACTGAGGCGAGTGCATGTCCGACCAATCGGAGGGCGTAAAGGAGACCGACGTGCTCACCACCCACCACGCTTTGCGTTGCCCGGAGCCACAGCCAACGTAAGATAGGAAGGAGG